TCACCTAAGACCAATTTGTCATGGGAGACCCTACCAGGGGCACTAAGTGCCCCAGACAACATAGCTCCTAGGATCATTAGGGCACTCAAACTCCTCCACCACGATAAGGTGACGGTTCAAGGACATGCCAGTAATTTAATAACTTGTTTTAAGATAACTCAGTACAAGTTTACAGATTACAGAGTCAACAATAAAATGTTGGGACTAAAAATAAAAAAGAGAATTTTTTCCCTTCCAGTCAGAAAAATGCAACTTTTGGAATGTTTATGGAAAATTTCAATTTGAATTGTTATTAATTATTATTTTACTCTTTTACACAAATGAATTAAGTTAATTTTAAGGTGATTAATTACATGAATTCATGCTCCGAATGTATGAGACTGAGATGTAATGTGGACAGCAATGAATGCTAATCTGCTTGTTTGAAAGTTGGTAATAAATATTTTTTTAATTGCTTATCCCTTTGATGCATGAATTATGAAATCTTCAACCATGATATTTTTTTCATTCATCTTTCGTTGTGAATGAAACAAATTTCAACAAATATTTTTTGTAACATTTAATAATATACAAATAATTTATTACATGTCCATCTCAGTGGACAGCGTGCTTTCTGAACATGAAATATGTTGGCTTGACTTACTGAAGTACAAATGGAGGGGCTCAAATGCAATAAAGTCTTCAACAGCTGTGCTTAATAGCAAAAAATAAAAAAATAACAATTTTGAGGACCTGTCCACTGTAATGACCTCAGGAAAGTCTTAATCCTCTTTAAAGTAGAAAAGCACCTCTGTGATTCGGCTGTGGTCAAGGGTGTGGTGACAAGAATCTTCAAAAGAGTGACAGTCTCTGTGAACGTGCTTTGAAGATTGTTCTCCATGAAAAACTGGAAGAGAGTCAGTGCACCAGTGCAAGCCCTGAACTCATGGTTCTCATAGATGAGGGATAGCTTTGTTCTGAGCTTAGCTTTGTTCAGCATGGGGTAGGCCTCTACAGCGGTCGCCAGTGCTGCATCTGGGAACTGCGCTGTGTGTTGCACAAACAAGTCACTTTGTAGCAGAGTGGCAGCAACGAGGTGCTTGGTAAAAGAGAATCGCTCTTTTGCATGGCTCAGGATGGTGTCACAAACCTGTCATATGATAAATAAAAAACAACAGATAAGTACATAGGAAACACTTTCATAGGAAATAATGGCATCAGTATCCTCTTACAAATGTCATATTTCCCAGTTTTTTGGGAAAATAAAACATTTCTGATTCTCAATGAGATGTTTTTACTTCAAATGTAAAAATATCTCATTGAGAATCAGAAATGTTTTATTGTCCCAAAAGCTGGGAAATTTGTTTGCTGCAGCAGAAGTGTAACAAGTAAAATGAAATCAGACTGATGTATGTACAAATTTACATGAAATACACATTTACATGATTAAATATGTATAATAAGTATGTGTGTTGAAATGAGTTTTTACAGTTATTGCACATTAAACAATGTACATGTTATTAAACAAATGTCCCGGTTTGTGGGACAACCAAGGATTTCTGATTCTGATTGTCTTGCTCAGAGAAATGTAATGTACAGCTTACTTCTGCACCCAGCTGCTGTTGTTCTCCCTGTCCAAACGTCCTCCGTTTCTTCCGTGCCCCTCGTCGAGCTGCATGGCAACGTTAGCGCTGCCTAGCATGGCTAGCTTCACAGTGTTGTCCATGTGTGCCCGGGATGACTCGTGAGCTCCAGTGGTCAAGACTGTCGAGCTCAACCCGAACATCAACGAACAGCCTTGGGCGGTAGCTCTATCGCCCTTCGGGCTTCCGAATCGACGACGCTGATTGGATGCATTCCCATTCCTGAGTTTGATTTTCTTGTCAGCAATTGGCTGGCTGCTTCACTGCCGTTTGGGCGATCTTTCTGTCGCCTCCACCGCTCGGCAGGGAGCTTCTCACCAATGATATATATATATATATATATATATATATATATATATATATATATATATATATATATATACACAGTGGGGCAAAAAAGTATTTAGTCAGCCACCGATTGTGCAAGTTCTCCCACTTAAAATGATGACAGAGGTCAGTAATTTTCATCATAGGTACACTTCAACTGTGAGAGACAGAATGTGAAAGAAAATCCATGAATTCACATGGCAGGATTATTAAAGAATTTATTTGTAAATCAGGGTGGAAAATAAGTATTTGGTCAATAACAAAAATTCAATTCAATACTTTGTAACATAACCTTTGTTGGCAATAACAGAGGTCAAATTATTACTATAGGTCTTTACCTGGTTTGCACACACAGTAGCTGGTATTTTGGCCCATTCCTCCATGCAGATCTTCTCGAGAGCAGTGATGTTTTGGGGCTGTCGCCGAGCAACACAGACTTTCAACTCCCTCCACAGATTTTCTATGGGTTTGAGGTCTGGAGACTGGCTAGGCCACTCCAGAACTTTCAAATGCTTCTTACGGAGCCACTCCTTTGTTGCCCGGGCGGTGTGTTTGGGATCATTGTCGTGTTGGAAGACCCAGCCACGTTTCATCTTCAAAGCTCTCACTGATGGAAGGAGGTTTTGGCTCAGAATCTCACGACACATGGCCCCATTCATTCTTTCCGTAAGACGGATCAGTCGTCCTGTCCCCTTAGCAGAAAAACAGCCCCAAAGCATGATGTTCCCACCCCCATGCTTCACAGTAGGTATGGTGTTCTTGGGAAGCAACTCAGTATTCTTCTTCCTCCAAACACGACGAGTTGAGTTTATACCAAAAAGTTCTACTTTGGTTTCATCTGACCACATGACATTCTCCCAGTCATCTGCTGTATCATCCATGTGCTCTCTGGCAAACTTCAGATGGACATGCACTGGCTTTAGCAGCGGAACACGTCTGGCACTGCAGGATTTGATTCCCTGCCGTTGTAGTGTGTTACTGATGGTGACCTTTGTTACTGTGGTCCCAGCTCTCTGCAGGTCATTCACCAGGTCCCCCCGTGTGGTTCTGGGATTCTTGCTCACAGTTCTCATGATCATTTTTACCCCACGGGATGAGATCTTGCGTGGAGCCCCAGATCGAGGGAGTTTATCAGTGGTCTTGTATGTCTTCCATTTTCTGATATTTGCTCCCACAGTTGATTTTTTCACACCAAGCTGCATGCCTACTGTAGATTCACTCTTCCCAGTCTGGTGCAGGTCTACAATTCTTTTCCTGGTGTCCTTCGAAAGCTCTTTGGTCTTGGCCATAGTGGAGTTTGGAGTCTGACTGTTTGAGGCTATGGACAGGTGTCTTTTATGCAGATAATGTGTTCAAACAGGTGCCATTAATACAGGTAACAGTGGAGGACAGAAAAGCTTCTTAAAGAAGACGTTACAGGTCTGTGAGAGCCAGAGATTTTCCTTGTTTGAAGTGACCAAATACTTATTTTCCACCGTGATTTACAAATAAATTCTTTAAAAATCCTGCCATGTGAGTTCATGGATTTTTTTTCACATTCTATCTCTCACAGTTGAAGTGTACCTATGATGTAAATTACTGACCTCTGTCATCATTTTAAGTGGGAGAACTTGCACAATCGGTGGCTGACTAAATACTTTTTTGCCCCACTGTATATATATATATATATATATATATATATATATATATATATATATATATATATATATATATATATATATATATATAATTTGTTTTTGTTACAAAACACACACTTAACTTAGAATATGTGATTATCGTTAATTTTATTTTTTCATTTTTTTAAATAAAAATTAAAAACACTGGGGAAAACTGTGTGTGTGTGTGTGTGGGGGGGGGGCGTCCTATCGCCCTCTAGTGGCCAGCCGCCACTGGGTGTAGGAGACTATTTTCATGTTCAGCCTGCATGAAAAAGTCAGAGTGACTAATTATAATTAGAATGTTTTTTTTATTTTCTTTGCACCACACCTTTAAGGAATGAGCTTTGGGAGCAGTGTGTTTTGCTGACCAACACTGTGGTCTGTGATATGCTGGCTTTTGAGTCTAATACAAAGTAAACCAATAAAGTAAACCACATCATTTAGTTGTGTTGTCACATGACATCTGGCTACATCATGCTAACTCATGCTATGTCAAATTTCATTGTTTCCTTATGCCTCTCTGTCATAGCATCTTATGCATTGTTATGTGTTACAATATTACATCCAGTTTTGCCTTGTCCTGTTAGGTGAGGGTTTGTTATTATTCTAGCTGTGATTTTAGTAAATCAGTAAAATTCATCAGTTCATATTTCTCTGTTGTTGATAGAAGGGTTTTCATCAGCGTGGTCATACAGCACCAACTGGAGGGGAGGACTACCTTAATCCACAGCAGGAGGATCAAGGAGACCAATTGCCACAGAATATGTTGTGAGCGGGGGTAGACAGTTTGTTCTGCTTTACTCTGATTATTATAAGACAAAATACTTTGCTTCATTATGAATAAGAAGTCAGATTGGTAGAAATAATGTCCTTGTCTCATCCTGGAGTTTGTGTTTCCATCACTAAAGCAGGTCAGGACACATGAGCTGCCTTTAGTCACTGCTTTCATACAAATTTACTAACAATTTGAAAATAAAACCAAAATAATGCAAGTACTGCAAATACATACAGTCCTAAATAACTAGTCAAAATTATGATCTTGACTTATGAAGTACAGCTGCAAAACCCTCTATTATTTTGTGATATCAGTTTATTTACTTTCATGAGCTCAAATAATTGTTCTGTTCTGTGGGCTGAATGTGAATTACAGCTTTGAGCAGGTGGTTAGAGCCGAGATCAAACGGAAAACTGTTTTGTTAGCTGACCCATATTCACAGACAGCTCTGCACCAGACACATGTTTACAGATGTGGGTGACTGAAAATAACGACACTTGTTTTTCTGGGGGTATATGCGTGCTGTAACGTCACGCATGTTGTTGCGACCCTTCAGATATTCTAAAAGCCTCTGACACAAAGGTTGGACTGGAGCGCGCGCACACACAAAACACACACCTCAGCCTTTTCCCTGCTGTCCCTTACCTCCGCATCATCTTTAGCATCGTAGAGCCGGATTCCAGGACACGTCAGTCGGCGGAGGATGGACGCACGCAACCATTTCCAGGAGAACAGCAAAACAAAGACCAGGTTTCATTAATGAAAGCCTCATTAGCCAACCAGCTGCTGCGCGTGCAGCGGTTAGCCTATCAGCCATCTGAGGGAGCTTACCTGCGCGAGGCGCCCGGCTCTTGTACCTGCTGCTGGACGTCATGTCGGACACGGCGGATAAAAGAACCGGCCTGAGCGGGAGGGGCGGATCTCAGAGCAGATATTTCTCCGACTCAGCAGGTAGAGGAGGAAGATGAGTCCGGGACGAGCTGCGCGAGCACACACAAGTCAACCCAAATCAGCAAAAATGCCGAACATCTGTAACTGGACCGTTCTGTTGCGCGCTCAGACAGCCGCCGCTGTCTGGGAGCATCTTTTATTGTGAGAGAAATGGATCTGCAGTTCACCTGTCCACCAGGTGAGGGCAGTGTCGCACTGTTGTCTTCCGTTGCACCCATCGACATAAGGTTGCACCGAGGAAAACAACTAAACTGCAGTGCTGTTACAGACTGGTGGAAAGAGTATTCGTGGGGCTTCTTCTGTTGAATTTAGTGAACTCCAGCCTCCTCACTTCGCAGGTGATTTTTTTAATGTTTGGTCTAGAATAAAGGACCATGCTCCATCACCTTTTCACCAGCATACACTGTAAAAACTACAGTGAATTAAAGAATGAAAGATCAGATGTTAGCAAAATGAAATGACAATTCAAATAAAAATACTGAAAAACATGTATCCTGTGTGTGCCTTCCTACCAAACATTCAGCATGACTGCAGTTCTTATTCTCTCTTTTGGCCTAATCCACTTTTATTTTAATCCTTTCTTTGTTTTCCGGTTGAGTTTTCTGTCAACAGCAGCCTTTGAGTCAATCGATCATCACAAAGCGTGTAAACCTCAAAGTTCAGTTAGGTGGCACTAACACAACATCGAAATTGAAATAGATACTCTGTTTTGAACATTAAAATCACATGAAATGAGAACAAAAAACACATTTTACTGCAACAGCTGCAGGCTTGATTACAGCTTTATCAACAAAGAGTTTGTTTGAATGGGGGAGTGAGAGAAAGAGGGGAAAGGAAATTGAGCACCTTCAAGCACGCTAGCTAGCAATTTCCTGTAACAGGGTCACTATCCTCAACACCCCAGAGGCATTACATTCAGTGATGCTGATTGGCCAATATGAGAGGATGCCTGCCGACAGGCAAGGTAGGCGATTGGGGATCCAGAGGGCCTACAAAAATGTTGATGTCAGAAATGGAAACATTAGCGAGACAGTCAGGGCTTTTAAAATGCACGATAGAAAACCAACCCATTGCCCTAAATAGAGCTCCGGGAGTTGACGTAACTTCTCCCAGCATGCAACAGTTCAAATCGAAACTGCGCCATATTGGCAGGCAGAAGCCCACAGCTGGGCTATTTAATATTGTCAGAAAACTCAATCAAACGGAAATATGGTAGATTCCTGTTGTGTCCCAGGATGCCAGAAAAGACGCGGACCATATGAGGGAAGAGCCTTCTACAGGATTCCCGAAGATCCGGAACGCCGCAAACATTGGATCATTGCAATGAAATGCGCTAGCCTCCAGGCTAAAATGAAACTGTGAGATCCCGAGAGTAAAGGTTTTCACAGCGACCGCTTCATATCTAAAGGTTTTCACAGCGACCGCTTCATATCAGGTACTTAAACCAACATTTCCTCAACTGTGTATGGTATTTATTTAAAATGCTTTTATTACGATTCTTAGTGGGCTTCCTAAACTTATTTTGGCGTGGCTTTTTCTGCCTTATTACTCATAGCAACAAGTAAACATCACGTAAAACGTTGCCTCGTGAGTTCTGCGTGCTGCCGTTTACATGTTTTATGATCACAGCAATTAACCGGCTAAGCTGTATTTCATTTTTAAGCAATGGTTGATCAATTGTCAGATCACACATAAAAAGCACTTTGGATTGCTATTATCTGTCTCACCGAGACAGCTCTCAGACAGATCCTGAGACGCTCCTGCCTGACATATTTTATTCATGAAAAAAAATCAAACTAGTGATTTCTCTTGGCGTTCAGTTTATACATTCAAACAGCACAGCATTCTATTTAAACTACTTACGTGTATTTGTCCATCCATCCATTTTCATCTGCTTATCCAGAGTCTGGTCGCGGGGGCAGTAGCCTAAGTCGAGAGGGACTTCCCTCTCTCCAGCCACTTGGGCCGGCTCCTGCCGGGAAATCCCAAGGCGTTCCCTGGCCAGGTCTGCTTCGACAGCTTTTGGCATTTTTAAAAATAATCCCACGAGCATGGAATGGGTCCGAGATGTTTAATCTATTTAATTTCTGACTATATAAAATGATTTCTTTGGTTTTAAAGTGTGAAGTAAACTCCGACGAAGAAAAATCCAAGCCGATCCCGTTCATTTTGTTTACCTTTGTTGCCTGCCAACATGGCGTCTACTCTTTGAGAGTCACGTGACGTCCGGAGCTCTATACACCAACGTTGTTGATTTAATGCATGCAGGGTTTCCCCCAAGCCCCCAGAATGCGAGACAGAAATTGAGGCCAATGCAGAAGTGAAATAAATTGCAATTCCACCCTCATCTCCTCATCCGCTGGGGGCTGGTGTCAGAAGCGAGCAAATCCTCATTGACTCCCATGTTAAAAATACCAGTTTCACAGCAGAAATAAACATGCTTACAGCCTGGTACCAAAACATGTTTTTGGTTTAAATTATCTAGTTTACACTCATGACAACTCTGAGGGGGGTGAATTTTTTTCTCACTCTTCTGTTTAAGTGTATTAAAAGCCTAAAATTCTGTATAATTAATGAGCATCAGACCCACGTGACCACAGAGCTTGCTCCGGGGAAAGGCCTCAGCCTGAGCCTCGGCCTCGCCTGAAAACTGTTCCGCTATTTTCAGTCTCTCAACTTAGACAATTAGTTGTAGCGTTTGTGTATTCTTGTTTGGATATTATTTGTGCAATTGTTGGACAAAATGACTTGCTGTGGCATTAATTGCACTAATAGAGCGTCCAAGGAGTCTCCACTTCATTTATTTTCGGTAAGTAAAATTATATTTATGTATTTTAGGTCACTGCCAAGCTGAGCTTAGATTTTAACATGTACTGCTTAACCATGAAATTTAAATGTAATAGGGTAAAACCCAGTGCATTTAACATAATGCTGCACTTTAGAAAATGGGTTGAAATATAACATGTTGGTGGAGCTGGGTTCCAACTATCGGCTTGTGGAGCTCTCGGGAGACCGATGTTTTCCACCCGTTTCTCCCCTCGCCGCAGCTCGGCGCATCTCTATCTGATTGCGGCTTCTGTCTGCTGCGCGGGCTGTCGGCTTGTGGAGCTCTCAGATGGAAACCTTTCCATCCGGTTCTCCCCAGCGGCAGCTCTGCGCATCTCAGATCGCAGCGGCGCTTGTCTGCTGCCCGGCTGCCAGCTTGTGAAGCTTTCGGGAGACCTCTGTGTTCCACCCGGTTTTACCCAGCGGTTAGCCCGGCGTATCTCTGACTCAGAAGTTCTGGTGTTGTGCACAGTTAACTCCGGTTGTAGCTAGGGTTGCCAACCATCCCTTGAAAAATGAAATCGTCCCGTATTTAGAAACAAAAGTACACGTCCCGTATTGAGCTCAAAAGGGACGCACTTTGTCCCGTAATATAGTGAGGATCAAAATTAGTCTGTAGTCTATTATTGGAATTAACGCTTTGTTTGAAAGCCAGCCCTTCGCCTGCTCTGTGACCAATGAGCTGACCGCACGCTTACACACACGAATATGACGATACAGATTACCGCTTATTTCATTGGTCGAGGAATGGTCGCTTGGGGAGAAGATACCGGAAGAAAACAGACGACAGCAAACAGCATGGCCAACAGGGAAACAAACGCCAACACTGCTGTACAAGTCTCAGACGACAGTATCCCTCCGAGAAAGAAGAAAAAAAGGCTTCAAAAATACAGGGAGGAATAGGAAAAGGAAAATTCCTGGCTGGAAAAAGTGCGCGATAACACCTATAAAGCGTACTGCACTGTGTGCCGCAGTTTTTCCATAGGCTATGGTGGACTGATTGACCTCAAGCAACATGCTTCTAGTAGTAGCCACATGAAAAACATGAAGGACGTGAAAGCACGGGGAACACTCGATCAGTTTGTCGTCCACAAGGCCACGGCAGAAGCAGATATGGTAAGTACACATTGCTTTTTTAAACCCTCTGGTTAAGGTGAAGGTATTTATATGAGAAAAAAAACCCACAGTGTTGGGGCTTGTTTATTATTATTTTTGTTGTCTGTTTCTGTTTTTTCGTTTGTCTTTCTTTTTTGTTTATTTTTCAACTTGGGTGTTTAGTTTTGATGTAGCCTAGGTTTATATGTTGTTTGGATAGTTTTAAACTAAAAGAAAATTAAAACGAATGAGGTAAAACTGAGGGGGTAGGCTAAGTGTATACTTCTGCCTACTCCTTTTCAAACAACAAAAAATGTTAATATGGGCATGTGCAATGAATATCTGTGGCATTTGGCCAGAAGTGTAGCTATAAAGTTATATATATATATATATATATATATACATACATATACATATACATACATACATACATATACATACATATATATATATTTCATTTACAGGTGACTGCTGCAGAGATAGCACCATATCTACCACACTGTAATGCACGGTTTAAGCTATAAGTCAGCTGACTGTGCACTCAAACAGATTGTAGAAACGCTGAATGACTCCAGTATTGCCAAGAAGATGTCCTGTGGGGGGTCAAAAGCTGAAGCAGTTGTCAACGATGTCTTGTCTCCAAAGGCAATAGAAGAGGTGATCAAACAATTGAAAAGTTGTGCAACTCCACTCCAATTCTCTCTTCATACTGATGCTTCAAATAAGGGAAATCGGGAAATGTTTCCCTTGGCCTTGCAGTTTTTCACACCAGAGACTGGAGTTGTCAACAGGATATTGGATTTTATTGAAAATCCAGATGAGTCTGCACAGGGAACAGTAAAATTAATACAAAGTTCTCTTGAAAACATGGGGCTATCCCTAGATCAGGTTTCTGCATTCAGTGCTGACAATGCAAATGTCAATTATGGCATCCACAACTCAGTCTTCACAAAATTGAAAGAGACCAACAAGGAGATTCTTCGTGGCAACTGCCATGCACATATTGTCCATAACACTGTGAAAAAAGCCCTGGACACGCTCTCAGTTGATGTGGAAAATATTGTCCTTAAGATATACAGCTTCTTTTCCACCTCTGCCAAAAGGAGAGAGTCCCTGAGGGAGTTCTGTGAATTTTGTGACGTTGACTTCCATGATATCCTGCGCCATGTTGTGATGAGATGGCTGTCACTCAACCCTGCAATCACCCGCCTTCTGCAGAACTGGGACCCGCTGAAGTTGTATCTCATCAGCATTGGTCAGGAATGTCCAAGGCGCCTGAAGGAATTGCTGAAGTTGACAGAAGATGCTGCTGGAGTTGAGGGAGAGGCAGATATTGTGGAGGTCTACCTCCTCTTCTGTAACAATATCATGTGCCTGTTTGAAGAAGTGGTGAAAAAACTGGAGAAGAATGATACCACATCTGTGGCCCTCTATTCCATCATGGAC